TCAGTGTGGCCTAAATAAGGTAAGGGAGGGGGGTTTAGCTTATTTAGGCCACAGTGTGGCCTAAATAAGGTCACCCTAAAATTAATGTTAGATCTAGTTATGGAATCTGTATGCATGCGCTGAAACTGAGACATTAAAACTTGTTCAGTGATGTGACTGATAAAATGATAAAGACATGTAGCCTACATGTATAAAAGTGATTGGCAATATTGAATGAGAGTAGAGCATTATTTAGAATTTGCTCACTCTGTAAGTTTATCTATTAGTATTATTGGGCATTTCAGTTTGCATGTTTGCTGTTATAATTTTTCAGTGAACGCTTATAAGTTATTATTAGACGCCCGAGTCAAAAGTATTGAAACATTTGGACGAACTGCATGAAAGTGATTTGAGAAAAAAAAACCTGGTGCATTTCAAGAGAAGTTTTGTTTTACTTGTGATAATGAATTATCTGTAGTAGATGTTCAATAGTTTTCAATTTCAGTTTGTTGTGTCCTTTCATACAGAGTAGCCTACAATATTTTCATCACACACAATATCTCTCTCTCTCTCTCTCTCTCTCTCTCTCTCTCTCTCTCTCTCTCTCTCTCTCTCTCTCTCTCTCTCTCTCACACACAAACACACGCACACGAGGTTGAAAGTCGTCTCTTTCTTCCTGTCGTGTACCTGATCGTCATTCTCAATTTTAAAATAATGTGGTCATGATCCCATGCTTTTGTTTTACGGAAAATACCTGCCCTGAGCTGGCATGGCATGAAAACCTTTATGACTGTAAGCATTCATCAAAGTTATGAACATAAAGAACCTATACTTATATGAAGTGTCTTACAAAGGCCCGGAGTTAACTGTATTCTTAATTCTTAAATCGGATATACCCTCATACAAAAAACTGCAAGGTCCAATTTGTTGATGTAGCTTGTAAAAATGGCAAACATATTAGAACAATTTTCTCACCATCAGAGATGTAATAGTGAGGTGACTATTATATAATTTGAGTTATTATGTAGCCTATGTGTTTTCATTAAGTGATACGAAGAATAATATATAACTGTTGCCACCCCTCTGCCCACAAGTGTATTTTCACCTTTTGTTTTATTAGAGTTCAAGTTTACAAAAACGTGCATGTAAAAACAGAATTCTTGTAATTGACTTGCTTACAATAAATATTATCTGTAAGTAAATTAAGCTGGTCCTTGTCGTAATAAGATTTGAACACCAAAAAAAATGTATCTGATACAGATAATATTACATGACGTGCATGTATCTTCTGTGTTCCAATGCTGACTAGTTCTCAACGGTAGTTGACCTTAAGGCCTTCTGGGCAGACTGTGCTACTGTATTTCACTCGTTTGACCTATTTACCGACACATTAGTGTTTCCTTTTTTCCGAACTAGATTTATACAGTGGAGTCCACTTTTAACGAGTCCTGAAACAACGAGAAGTCTGTTATAAAGACACTATTCTAAAACCCCGTTTTTCCCCTTCTTTATCTTTGTAAATAAAATACTGCTATTGCGCAATCAGACAAACACGGGAGTCGGAATACTGCTGCTGCTGTGCACAGCACACAGACCAATTAAACATATATAAAACCTCGCCAGTTGAGAAAGTTGTTGGTGATCCAGCGAAACAAAAGAATGGGAGAGCCCACGCGAACCAACAATGAAGGCCGGAGCGAATGAATGGGGAGGTTGTGGAATGCGCAGACAAGCAGAACGCATCGCGTGATATTCCAGCTCAGTCTAGATTATCTAGGCATACCGTGCCTCTCATTTCTCTGATGCGGGATGGAGAGGTCACAATGCTGTGACTGTGATAGATGAAGTGAATGTGTGACGTGCGCAAGCAGACACAACGCACCACTTGGTGGGGCGGGGTGGGGGACAACACAGCGGGCGAGTTAGCCTAGAGCCAGAGCCCCTTCTTTCTGATCGCCAACGTCGAGCTGTCAACATTGCTAGTGCTAGAGAAAGAAACCCGATTCGATTTTTTATCAAATAAGACCTAGAGATCATGTTGAACAAAATCATCATCAGGGGAAATACAAAAAGAAAAGAACAGAACCCGAAACTCATAGATTAGGCCTACTTTTCTCCTTTGAATTTATTACTGGATCCCTAATAACGAGAATCCTGTTACTGTTATAACAGACATTTTGCACCAGTCCCCTTCCTCTCGTTATAAAAGGATTCCACTGTATAATGTATTGTCAAAAGTGCCCTTTATTATTGGCCAGTTTCTTCAGTTCTGGGTAGGGATTAAATCAAGATTGACCTTTGCCAAATATGACGGTCTTGGCAGGTCTGTTCTTTTACTACCACATCTAAGCCTACATTCGTGTCAAGGAGTATTTGACATACAATTTACAACTTTCTGACGGGGACATAATGATATGGTAACAACAATTTTTTTCTGGTACTGGTATTGATAAGATGACTGGCTGCCTACTCTCAACTACCCAAGGATAAGATGTAACAATGTAAGAGCCAAATCCCCCCTCACCCCCCCAACAACCCCCCCCCCCCAAACAACCCCTAACAAAACACACACACGCACACACACACACAAAAAGGAACAAACAAAACAACCCCTCCTTTAAAAAATAGAAAAAAACAGCCTAATATAAAATTTAAGTTAAGGTCCTCAGTCAACCGTGTCTATTATGTGAACCAGCATTTGATCAAAGGAGGTACTTAAACTTACCGGAACATAAGCAGGGGGCACCTTAATTTTGGACAGATAAACCTCCTTTAATATATGGCCATCAACTCCTGTCCTTTATTAAATTAAAGTTAAAGTGCGATACAGACTCCATCGTAAGTCTACATTTAGCTCTTGGGATAAATGAAAGGGAAACAAGGTGCTCATGTTGTGCCCAACTACTCGTAGACACACATTTAAAGTCATTTTCGTGGTCGGGAACGTGGCTACGCCGTGGACTTTCTTTAGTTTTAATTTTGCAAAAATTTTTGCAAGACCTGACACTCAGCTGACTGTCGATATGAAAGATAGCTGGATTAAAAAAAAAAGAAATTCAGGGAAAAGAGATGCCACACTTACAACAGAGAGATTATTATTTATATGTAGCCTACGTGGGTTTACGCTCCCATCAACACAATTTAGATCATTTAGGAGGCAGGCTTCGACCCGGCCTGTCATGGCCAATTCTAGCAGAAAGGGTTACAACATTTCATTTCAGTAGAGAGACTGAGATACTTGATAAAAAAGTCTCCCCATTTGGGTATAAGGTTCAGGTCTCCTGCATGCAACAGCAAAGCACGAAACTGCTACGCCACAGACGCTGGTAGAGAGATCAGATTTTATGCCAAGTGGACTCCACTGTATTTTCAGCTTGTGAATCAGAGGTCATGTTGCGGGTTATAATTTAGCCTACCACATACGCCAACATGTTAAAATCAAATGTGTATGTA